CTTCTTCCTTCCCTTTTTTTCCGCCGGGAAGATCCTACCGCGCACGCATGCGCGCGCCCGCTGGGATAACGAATTTTTAATATTTCGTTATTTGCGCGCCTCGGGGACGGCCGCCGGTAAGCGTCTTTTTTAGGGTCAACCCTCTCGACGGCGGATTACGCGCTTCTGGTTTTAAACTTCCTGTTTCAATCGATTGGCCGAGGATCGGTTGAACGATCCGTTTCTCGGAAGAAGGATCCTCGCTGCGCGCGATCTCAATGTTTCTCGGTACTCGGATGATCGGATCCCGCGGGGTTTTCTGGGATTGTTTGTTGGCTCTTTATGGGGAACGGTTGTTTGCTCTGTCTATGCGGAAGGCGTTTGCCATTGGAACCGTTAAGGAGTTTTATTCAGTTCTTGGAAAGAGACATTTATTAACTTTGAGGACTTCAAATTCCAAATCTTCAATTTCCAACTTTAACCCTTTGATGAAATTCCCACGTTTCGAAGGCCAAGTCGCAAGCAAATAATTCAATTACTCGAACACCAAGAGGCACGTAGCTTCCCTTCTTTCTATCATCTAAGCGATCGATATATAATTTATCATCTGCTGGAGGTTATCTATTCCACTGAATCTTCGTCCACAGAGATAAATTCCCAATGTCAAAATAAGTTCAACTGTCTAATTTCATCCATAGAATACTCCAATTCCTGCTTCCTACTCCCAACCCTTAACGAGCATCAGCTGATCAACCAGCTTCATCACGAAAATCCAAAACGATGCAACAATCTCGTCTACCGCAAACCAGCATCCCCGTTTCAGAATTTCAGAATTCCAGTAAATTCCACTCTCATCTAGCGGCAAACACCGGAAGACCTTATCTAGCGTCAGCGCACCCTCTGCGAGCACGAGTCGGCCAAGGACTCCGATTCTCCGATAGCTACCCAAAATTGAAATCCTATGAAAATCCATGATTTCCTGGAGCCCGGACGACTCCTCGTCGTTGAACCAGTCCCCGACCAATCCTCGCGCTTGCAGAATTCATGGGGATGAGGGTAAAAGTCGGATTACAGGGCGGCTTTCCGCGGGAACCGTGGAAAATTCACGAGTGGCCGAGTTCCTCGGCTAGACAGAGCTTACGGGAGAGGTCGCGAGGTCACGAGATCGTGAGACCCACGCTTCCACACGCTCCCCGACTGGTCTCGATGGCCGTACGCGTGTGTCGGCCGCCGCCGCCGCCGCTTGTGTCCGCGTGTACGCGCACGGGGGATTCGTCGCAACCAGACGATATGATATAATTGGACCGGTTCTACTAACCGCGCGGAAAACATAGGAACGGGGACGGCGATCGTGAGACTGATTATACGTATACACACGATCCTCCTCCGAGATAGTGTAGGAATCCTTGAACACACTGCCAGAAACCGTCTATTGCGTCAGAGCGGTCTGCTTATTGTTTGAGTTTGGCGTTTTCGCGCGAGGAATGTTTGGCAACTCGAAAACTCAGAGTTTTTTCCCCAAAGTTTCGCGTCCCGACGGGTTTCCGAATTTAGTTTATGGCGTACGGACGGAGGAGACGGTGTTGCTGGCTCCCGTGTTATGGAGATTGCGAGGATCGAAGCCGATAAGTGAAATGTTTGGAAGGTTCTTTGCTCGGAACGTGTACGTGCAACATAATAATTCAGTAATTCGACGATGTTTAGTCTTGGAAAATCTTGGAAGTCGTCGTGCAGAAATATTGATACAATTGTGTTTCTGCTGTCGTTATAGAGGGCGAAGTAACCTCTTGAGAATGACTAATGTGTATTTTCCGATGATTCGTATTAGTTATTTTAATAAGTGATATAGGTGGTTCGAACTCGAAGTGGCCAGTTCTTTTAATTCTAAGAAAATGGTGGACAGTGTTTGTAGAACGGGAACGAATTCTATTAAAATAGCAGAAGCAATCGGAGCACAATGGATTACGGTTGGAATTGTTCCAAATCTAAAACAATAGATACACAAAGCTTGTTATAAAGAAAATGAAAATGCGTCGCACGCCGCGCAGGAATGAAATAATCAATAAATCAGCGAAAAAGGAGGAACGGACCGATGTGTCATCGAACGGATAGTCGATCGATCGGCGCGTTCCATCAGTAATTCATTAAAATCAGCCGAGAAATATTCCTCCGCTGTTGTTCCCGATTCGAAATAAAATATGCGAACTAATATTTCCGGCTGCAGTCGATCATTCGCCGGGAACCCCTCTCCCCGATTAATCCGTCTAAAAAAAGAACTCATTTCCTCGGTCGCTCACGGTGAACAGTGGGAAACAGTATTACTCATAAGATCATCGGATAATACATTGAAATTTTAGATCCGCCGTACGATCTGCCAACAAAAACCGCGACACTGTATCATCCAATAAACCGTCCGACAACTTTGGAATTCATGTCTTCCCCCGAATTTCAATAAAAGCATCCTCCATTAACCTTATTCACGATCCAACACAGTCATCTGTTAACTCTCTTACCAAGGGTCGTCGCAAATCGATTCACCCCTTATACATACAAAATGCCATTGTAACAAGTATCTCCACGTTTTTCATTAAAATATTCAAAGTTAAATACTGCTTATTAAAACCAGCAAAAACTCAACGTCTAATTGAACCGTTTATTCCGAAAGCCACGTAAGTCAATTTAAAAAAGATTGAAGAAATATCAAAGAATGAAGAGATAGAATTATAACCATTACAACGATTAACTCGATGTTTTTGAAAAATGGACTTAATATTGCTACGAGCTTAACAGACGTAATATATAAATAATCCACGATCATGATCGTCAATAACGAACATCGGAATACGCGAGGCAAAGCGACCAAAGGGAATCGATTCACGAATTTCTAGAGGGACAAGGAAACGCTAGATTGACCCGAACAAAGCACAAGGGTGAAACGCGACAGCGGGCCGGCTCGTCGGACTATCTTTAACCCGGGAACGGGCAAGAGCACGAAGAAACGGCCGCAGACTGGCAAGCGCGTCGGCCTCGCGCGTTAATCGCTCGCGAGCACAACAGGGTTG